GGGGAGCTCTGAGCCCCAGCCACGGGCGAGCGAAAAGGCACCTGGGTGGTGCGTCGAGGAATTAGCTCGATTCGATTAAACATTTAATTAAACAGCCAGCGCTCCGTTTTGCCATCGCCCAACGCCCGACAGGGCTGATTTCTCAGTTGATTTAACAGGCAGTGGTTAATGATAACTCCAAATCTGGGCCAAATGAGGCTTCTGTGAAGGAGCGGTTCGCCGTCGGAGGGTTAGGATGAATCGGAATGAGCTATGGTTAAAGAAAAAATAATAATAAAAAAATGCCGCTCATTTCCAACTGCCTGCGGATGCCGTTAGCAAGGTTTTGCAAAGATTTATTATCTCGGTAAATCATATGCGTTCATGTGAAGCAGAGATAAGTCAGCATCCCGCTTTCTTTATAAAAATAATAATAATAATAATAATAAGAGGGAGGAAAAGTCCTGTTGACTAAACAAACAAGCCGATTAAGAAAGCGGTGGCGGAAATAACGCCGGGACTGATTCACTCTAGAAATACCGGCATTTTGGCACACGGGGGGTAACGGAATTGCGCTCTGAAATGCAAACAAACGGAACCATGCCCAAATTGCGGGGAGGGGGGGGGGCATCAGGGAAATTTTCGAGCGCCAACTACTTACTCGCCTCTACAGAAGATGCCAATTCAAAGAGCCCTTATTCCGAAGAAATTGGGGAGGGAACGGTTTGCACCAATGCACTTGCGAACACGCGGTATTTATATGCAAGTTGAAAAATATCCTCCGACATTAAAACGGTCGAATGAAGGGAGAGGGTGTTTCTAAAGAAAATATGATTTTTTTCCTCCACTCATCTCACTTAGTATCCTTTCTAACACATAAATCTGCTTTTTCAACGATCATGCTGGTACTTTAGTTCTGCACTTCACATTTTAAGTTCACATCAAAACTGGAATTAAACACAGAGGCAGCGTGGAGAGTAAACTGCAGCTTAAATGAGAAAAACTTCTGTAAGAAAATAAACACTGAAACCTAATGCTCAATCATTTCCCTTAGCAGTAAGAAAAACAGCATTAAATCACCTATCCACGTGGGAAACTGATTTTTTTTTTTTTTGGCTGATCTCTTCCCCCTTTAAAATAAAACAAGATTAAGGGTTTCAGTATTGAAATGTTAACCATCCTGATTCGGCGAAAGTTTATGTAAACGGAGCCTCTGCTTTTGTCTCGGAAATCAAACGCCTCTCCGCGCCTAAACGATAGGACGGAGATTGCAAACCCTCCTTTTCCCTCTCTGTTCGCCTAAGGAGAAGAGGACCCTCAAAATATTCCTAAACTAAAAAAGAAAAACAAAACCTCGAACAAACCCAAAACCAAACAAAAAATGTATTTATTGCGCCGCTTGGTGTTTTTTTTGGTGGTGGCGGTAGTTTTGATTTTTTTTTTTTTCTTTTCCCTTTGCTTTTGGATACTGGCGAGGGTCAGTGAAGAATTACCCCTCTAGTTATGGCGACCGGAGCTTTTTTGAAGAAAATTTCTTTTAGTCTCGACATCCCGGAGATTTTTCCAGATATTTTTTGAGGCTACGTTACTTGTTTAATGTTAAAATGTAATTTTAGGATTTTTATTTTTAAATTAATATTAAGTCACGAGTGAATTTCTCCTTAAAAAAGAAAAAATCTTCCTTATCCTCTCGGATTTAGCAGCTCTTCAGCCTTTCCAAAAGCTGTCCGATCACCGAAAACTACTATATAGTTTTATACTATATACTACTATATAGGCTCTCTCCTCCTGAGACAGAGGAGCGTTAGCACTGCAGTGATGCTACCTAAGCCGCTGAACGCTTTTCGCGCTTGACAGTTTTAATCTGCTGGAGACCTGGTAAAGTGAAATCAGGGGTAGAGGGAACAACCCAGGCGTTTTAACAGCTTGTGAGAATTACACAGCCATTACCGAGAAGGAGCTCGTTGGAAAACCTCTCTCTCGGTTTATCGAGTTTATTCGGTGCCACCGGTTTTGTGTTTGGATTTCTGGGGGGGAGCCGGAAGCCACGCCGTGACAATTGTGTGCGTGTGGCTCTCCGGGCATTTTACTCCCAGAAAACCCTCTTGTTTCTAAAATGAACCCGAAATCTACCCACCTCCCGGCTCTCTCCAGGAACCTCTCAGACGTAAAAATATGCAGACGAAGGCAGACCGATCCTTTCCGCCTGTTCCCTGTCCCCAGCCCCGCGTGTGCCCGGCGGTGAGGCGCGTATATCTTCCCGTGCGTGCTTATTTACAACCGGCCCCCGTGCAAGCGCTCTCCGGGCAGATGGAAATCCGCCCTCGGACCGGGGAGAGGGGGGGTGCGTTACGCCGGAGCTGCCTCTCGCTCTTACGGAGGGGCAACGCTTCTCCACCCCGACTCCTCCGAGAGGTCTTTAAATGTACGAGATGACACTTCGCCATGCTCCCGAGCCTCCGGCTGCCCGTCTCCGGCCCTTTTGGTCAACTCACCGGGTCTCTCCCGATGCTCGTATCCCTTTCCTCCCCAGGGAGAAAACAAGCAAACTGGCCTCCCGGTCAATCCATCCAACATCCCTACCCTGCCTCCTTCTTTCAGGAAGGCTTTTCCTTCGGGTGCCTGGTTTCCCTGGCTGCTGCTACCTGTCCTCCCTTCCCAGCGAAGCTATGGCCTCTGCTTTTGGCTGGGGGCACCGGCAGACCAGGATCACCCCCCTCTCCCACGCCTCCCCGCCCTGC